TTATAAAAAACAACTCTGCTTACTATATGTAAACAAAACTAAACGAAAGAAACTTTACTGGGAATAAGTAAGTGTGAAAATAACAGTGGATGTGAAAAAAATAGGACTTAAAGAAATGAAAAGTATAAAATTTAAAATTTAGTAGAGACACTTATACAGTCTTCTGATTTTCAAGTAAAAAGCCAAAACAGGCTGGATGCATTGGCTCATGACTGTAATCCCAGCAGTTTGTGAGGCCAAGGCAGGAGGATCACTTGAGGCCTTAGCAACATAGCAAGACTCCATCTCTACAGAAAAAAATACAGTGAGCTCCAATTGTACCACTGCACTCCAGCCTAGGTGACAGAGATCTTGTCTCTAAAAAAAAGCCAAAAAAACAAAAACAAAAAAATCTAAACCCATATGCCTTTAGAGTACAGCATAGGAGAACATCTTTGTAGCTTGGAAATAGGTGAAGGCTTCCCACACAGGTAATAGAAGACAAACATAAAAGAAAAATTAGATAAATAACATTTCATCAAACTTCAACATTCTGGTCATCAAAAATCACCACTAGGCCGGGCGCGGTGGCTCATGCCTGTAATCCTAGCTCTCTGGGAGGCCGAGGCGGGTGGATCGTTTGAGATCAGAAGTTTGAAACCAACCTGAGCAAGAGCGAGACCTCGTCTCTACTATAAATAGAAAGAAATTAATTGGCCAACTAATATATATAGAAAAAATTAGCCGGGCATGGTGGCGCATGCCTGTAGTCCCAGCTACTCTGGAGGCTGAGGCAGAAGGATTGCTTGAGCCCAGGAGTTTGAGGTTGCTGTGAGCTATGCTGACACCACGGCACTCGCTCCAGCCTAGGCAACAAAGTGAGACTCTGTTTCAAAAAAAAAAAAAAATCACCATTAAGTGTTACAGCTCTTTCAGAATTTGTCTAGCAGGTTTTCCAGTCCTCACCGTAAGACACCATTAAAAAAAAAATCATCAATGAGAAAATGAAAAGCAAGCCACAGAATGGAAGAAAATATATATAAAAGTATATATCTGACAAATGACTGGTATCTAGCATATATATTTTTAAACACCTATAATTCAATAATTAGAAACCAAACAGTTCAATTTTTTTTTTTTGCAGCTTTTATAGAAAAGTAATTTGATTGCAAACAGTTCAATTTTTTTTTTTTTTTTTTTTTTTTTTTTTTTTT